AATTGATTTTAGATTCATCCTTGTATGTTCCTATCTCTCTTTAAAAATTATATCATTTATTCTAAAATCTAAGTAATGCATTGATATGTGTATATCTCATATCTTTAAAATATTTTAGATGAAAAATTGCTTTTAGGTATCTTTATGGGGTGGAGATGCATCCTTTCAAAATCTGGATTTACGACTAGAGGTATTGGAGGAACAACTTAATCTTCCATTTGTTTTTGTTAGTGGTCATATACATGAATTGTTAATACATGTTCCTTGGGTAAAAATTACCTCTGAACCGATAGTTGTTACAATTAATACTATAGGTAAATAATATAATAATTTTGTTTAATATATTAGAAATGCTATTAAAACGTCAGATAAACATTGATGTTCTGTGCTTTCTTATAGAGTGCATTTTAAAATTGAAAGATGAAAATACCACAGAAGCTAGTACAACGTTGTTACAGAGGAGAAAAGAGGTGGTACAGTAAGTAATATTTTTTATGATCAAATATGAGATATAATTGAAAATTTTTTTATTAATTAACAATTCTTCTAAAGCTTCTAATTTCTCGTAACAGAGAGGAAGCTCCATCTGGATACATAAAAAGCATAGTTACCAAGGTTATTAATAATATTACTATTCATTGCAACAATCTCATCTTGAAATATGTGGAAGAGGATATTGTGCTTAGCGTAAATGTTAGATTTTTAAGTATGCAAACTGTCGATAACAAATGGGAACCAGCATTTATGGGTAGGTATTTTTGACAATCCTTCTACACAATTATGGATCCACCATAATGGAAAAACCATTTTATTTATCTACACAGAGTTATGTTGAAGATAAACGTGCATTAATATATATGTATATAATTAATGTTTAGAAGTCAACGCTCATGAAGTTATGCTTAGGAAAGTTATAACTATTCAGGACTTGACATTGTGTTTAGATAAAATGGATGCATCAGGCAAGATAGAAATATATCAGGTATTGTATAGTTCTTCTGCAAATTCACACATACAAATATTGCAAAGGCTTTGAGAACAGAAGAAAGATAAATATGCAAGAAAACTTTAATCCAAGAAGAAGCTAATTTAGATATTAACTGATGTAGGATCCTGTTTTATATCGATGCTCAATGACAATCCGTATGATTATAAAATATCATAATAATATCTCGAAGAGAGCATCCATCACAAGACTTGATCTTCATTGCGAAAAAATGGAATTTAGCGTAACTGAACAACAAGTACCCATGCTTCTCAGACTGGCAGCCTTGGTAATGGCGTTGCAAACAAAGCAATTTCCACCGAGCAAAGAGAAATCTTCTATTACTGTAGACGAGAGAGAAGATAGTGTACAAGGTTCAATATCGTTTAGATATTGTTTCGGACAGTTTAATTTAGGTAATATATAATATTAACGTTTCAGACGATACGAATCAGATAGCAGGGTCTTCTACAGAGGTAGTTGGATGGGGTGGGTGGGCATGGGACATGGTATCGTCCGTTTTACCTGTTGATTGGGATAATGATTGGTCCACTGAACAGCAAATGGCTTATTCTGGCCATACTGTACATTTAGGTGTTTACATAGATGATGCTACTTTAACATTTAAGGTATGACGCTGTGTTCAGCAGGCACTATTTCCACACTAAGCTTGAGAATGAATAATTACATTTTATATCGATTTCTGCAGACTGTTGAAAGTGTCAAAGAGCAACTGTTCTATAAATCCCGGAAACTTAGGTACAAATCGTTGTTATCACTTCGGTTAAACGGAGTTGTGATAGATACTTTAATTCAAGGAATTGCGATGACGACTTTCCAAGTTGGAGTGGCATGTATACGACTTTACCCTCGAGAAACTTGCAGTTGTGGGTATTTAGAAGTTATTGATGGTGCACAGGTAAAGTAATTAGTCGTTATTGCCAGACGTGAAATTGAGGATAATGTCTGATATGTAAATTGTTATTATAGCCGCCTCTTTACGTAACAGCTGGGAAGTTAAATTCTGACTACCTGAAAGATTCATTGTTCGATAAAGAAGCTGTGGAAAACAAGGGAAAGAAAAGAGATTACAAGCAAGGAGTAGATCATCACTTAACGACATTCTCGGGTATGTAATGGCAGTTATATGTATAATAACAATAATAATTATATAATATTTTATCAAAAGTTATAAAGTGTTTGTTCTTTTCTCAGAGGAAAAACTATTAGAAAGATGTTCAGCGTTTGTCATGGATTATGTATATTATGTCGAATTACCCGACGACGTTACTCCCGAAAGGTTGCTCGAACTTGGATCGAATTTTGAGTACAGGTGTTTGAGAAATCTCGATAACTCTGCACATATCAAGTATAAGAAAAGAAAAGGTGTTTATAAACAACTTTTATAGCAATTTTCAGGAACGTAGGGTGGTAAGGTACCTTGGCAGCGATCTGACAATTAGATTATGTTCCGGAATTTTCCATCGTGTCGATACCATTAAGCAAGCCGCAGCAAATTACGATTATGACCCCTACATTGTGATAAAGCCAGGTAAATGTTTACGTACAATGATGTTTTTGATTCAGTTATAATTTTATCGTAGATAAAAGTGTCTTAGATACAAAAATAAATTATAATTGTAAGTTGAATCTAACAAGCCCAATTATGATTTTAGACCCTCCCGTTGACGAGCTGCCTCCGGTTACATTGGAAGAGTACGAGGCGCTCAAGGAGAACGTATCGATGACGGAAACGAAATTAATTTTAAAAAAGGCGTCGTTACAATTACAACTGGCGGATCATTGCGTTGCAGGAGTATCACGTCAACGTAAAATTATTGAAACTCGGGTAAGCTCTCTGCCGTGTTCGCTTGTTTATTTTTCGAATACGCTTATGAAATATGCGTTTCTTCAGGCTACTTCACCATCTCCTGCTCTTACGGATGATCCTTTCGTGAGCATTGAGTGTGACGAAACAATCGCCACTATAATTCAGCCTATGTATCCATTTAGACTCGTAGCTTGTGCATCAAAGTTAACGGAGCTATCACCAGAAATGTTTTCTCAGTGCCATGCTATTACTGATGTACAAGTAAGTAAAATTTTATACGCGATGTTATCGTAAATATTTTCAACAGAACTGATCTCGATATTCTTTCACAGGTGACTGGAGCGAAAAGCCAACTTCACTTGACGAAAACTTGCAACACTTCGATAGTGATGCCTTATTCGGTGGAAGCTTCTTCCAAGATATTGTTGTATCCTCAGTATTGGCGGAACGTAGACATGGTTCAAAAATCGTACTCGTTTCAGTCAGATAGCGTCACAGTCACGGGAACCAAGGCGAAATTAATGGCCGCAGCCTCTATAGTAACTTCCATTTTTTATCCCGCGGATATAACAAATCCTCTTATCTGCTCTACTCTTTTTAACGACGCCTGTCAGGAAAACTGTACGTATAAATGCCAAACATCCTCTTATATAAGCCGAAGAATTTAATTATTATGTTATGGATAGTCAATTTCTTTATGTTACATTTTACGTAACTTTAAAGATCTGTTTACACATTGCAGGCCCAGTATATTTGGAATTGTATCTAGAGAATATAAACTGCAAGAACGTATCGTCTTCAGTCACGGTGTCAAACGAAGTGAACGTAGATTCTATAAAAATATTTGCCCTCAATGATTCCCAGCAGGCCTTTATTCTTTCAGGTCCAGAAAATCGTGGTGAAAGGTTTGTATATGTATACACACGTTTTAACAACGTACACAAAAAAGTTAAAAAATATTTTAACTAATGTGTAAAACTTTTTTTGTCTTTAGTGATGCAGGAAATGTACCACTTTTGTCTGCTGTGGTGCAGTTTCCTAAAAATATAGAGCTACAGCAGACGCATCCACCGCTTGTTTCATTCAAAATCGCCGAGATCAGAGCTTCGTTGGATCCGCTTTTCTTCGAATGGCTAGAATATCATCCTACTTATCAAAAATTTGAAAGCGCGCATGTACCACGTCCAGATAGTCAGCAGATGATAATCGAAGGTGCATCATCCGACACGGGTACACGGAAGAAGACATTTCCGAGCTTACACGAAAGCGTGCACAGTTCGTCGGATAAGGACAAGAAACGATCAGCCGTAACGGAAAAGTCGAAAACGTTGCGAAACGATGAAACGCAAAAGAAAAGCGAATCTAAGATGGGAGAAGAACAACAGGTATCAAAGTCTATTTACTATATACGCATTAGTATATATAATATTGATGTTACGTTAAAGCTAAGGAGACATGGTCTGTGATAGAACTTGCAGAAATCCGGAATACTGATCAGATTGGCGGAGTTGTATTCGTGGTGGTGCAGTCTTGTGCTAAATGGATACATTGGACATATTGTTATTTACGTACCATCCGATACGATGAGTGGTATTGGCGCTGATGGTAAATATTCTAATCATATATGCACAACAAAAATAAAGAGACGGAGATCGAATCAAAGATCATTTTTAAATTCAACGGATTTATCCTTGCTACTAGTTTCCGTTTTTTTTTGATAAATTTATTTATACGTGGGTTATATCTTATTTAAAAAATAACTAAAATAAAATATACGTTACAAGGTATAGAACAAGCCAAAGACAGAGCCTTAGTGGAAAATCAAGATCTGCAAATAATGATCGTAAAATTACCGAGTCTACTCATACACTCGTCTAATCTGAACGCCGAGTTGCTTAGCCCGCATCTTCAAAATCTCCCTGTTAAATTACCGGAATCTATGTGGACCTATCGTAAGTATTTGTTTATAAATCGTGAAGAATTGTAGCATACAGTGGGCACGCGATTTCTTATTATTACTCGGATTATTTCAGGAGTGCAAAGCTTTCCGTGGACATTGAGTCTTATCGACTTTCATTGCTACACGTTGCAACAGCAGACGCAGAAGAATTTCATAAGGAAAGTTACATTAAATGCTACAGTGGCTTTCACAACTAAGACAGCTGCAACTCAATCAAACATGCTCACTGCCTTAAGCGTTTGTGTACATATTGATAATTCTCCCATCATTGTCTCAGTCTCGGAAGAACAGGTATCAATTGTAGATCTCCGTTTGTTCAAATAATACAGATGTAATGTGCAAATGTATCGTAAAAATGTGAATCCTAAAATATCCTTGTGTGTGCCGTAGGTTATTTTTATGAGCAACATAGCGTTAAATATCATAAAGATTCTGCGACCTCTGTGCGACTCCCGGGAGAACAAAATGATTGTGCCACAAATAAGCAACGAGACGCAAATCGTTCTCCCTGTTATACCGCAAACTCCGTCCACCTCGACTCAAATAATGTATCCGGAAGACACGACTACCAATTCAACTGTATCTACAACGAAAGATGATCCAGGATACGGTGAGTTGAATGCGTTAATTTTTTCTTGTCGCTAATACGCATATGTAATTTTTACAGAGAAAGACGGTCTAGTTCTAACAGCGTGGATTCAGTGGACTATAACGAAAGTAACGATCAAATTATACATCATGGGGCAAGCGGATATGTCTTCTTTAAAATTAATGCTGGAATTAGAGGACATTATAACATCCTTGGATCTGCAATCGGTTTACATGCAACTAAAAAGTAAAATAACGACTGCAACGATATTCCATTATATTAGGTAAACTAATTTCAACGAAATACTTGTACATGTATCGTTAGTTTTAGATATAGCAGAAAATCTTTTGAAAAACTTTTATCCATTACCTCCGATATTACTTATTCTATTATTTGGTTTGATTTTTCACTCTTTACACAATGCCTGTACTGTAATTTAATAGAGGCCCATATTCATTACATTGGGATGTCGGTGAATACGCCGGCCTAGTACTTTGTGGGAGAGAAGATAACTTGGAAAAAGTCGATGATTCTGGTTTCGTGAGTTTTACGCTTACCCGCGCAAAGTCGGGAAATGTATACACGCGTTGGGGCACTCAGAAACGTCACAAATCCCAAAAGGTAAAGCATCTTTAATTATATTTCACATTAGTTGAATCACAGACACAATTATGATATTATTGATCGCGAACTAGAGATGACTCTCTGATTCTCTAACATCTGCATTTAGAAAGAACTGTTGATCGACTCTACATTGTCTACGAACGGCTACATCTCCGAAATACTAATCAAAATGCAGATGGTCGACGTAATCTTGCCACTAAGTGTAATTAGCAAATACACTCAATTGGTGAGACCTTTTACGTGCCTGAGTTCATCCATTGAGATGGGTGCGGAAATAACTCGTGGTAAAAGCATGGCAACGCCATTAACCGGCATAACCAATCTGAGTAATGAATCATTACCATTGATACATTTGGAGTTCAAAGGCTTTCGACTCATGATGCCAGCTTCAACCGACGCAAATAAATTGCAACATGATTTACTGATGCTCCAGGTTACGAAGCATTGCTTTCGAATAACTCGACAATTTATCAGCGATTCAGACGATTTATAGTTACCTTTCTCGACATTACAGTTGGACGGAATTCGTATCACACCCGATGCGGAAAATCCAATCTGCAGAACTCCGTTGCGAACTGATATATACCAGCTGGCTGCTCAGGCGAACATATTGAACGTACCAGGTTCGGCCGTAGAAGATCGCCAGTATCAAATTAACGTTAAAGGAGTGTGCGTGTACACCACTACATGGAAGAATTATCAGTTAAGCATCAACAAGGTTCGTTATCAGAAGTATATTATTCTGAGAATACCTTGAAAACATATATATGTCATATTCGTATATTGGAAAATTTTATACTTGTAAAAACTTAAAAAAAAATGTTATACTCCCAAAACTTGTAAAAATCAAATTTCCTGAATTGCAAAACGACGATTTTTTGCAATATCGTGTGCTATTGGCAGTTAATTATTATTTAAAAATACTTCCAGAGAATGTCTCAATCATACCTGTACACTATGAATGAGAATCCTGCATTGGAATGGAATAAGCTGGGAAATAGTAGTAGTTTAGATCCATATTTCTCCACATCTCCCGTGTTAACAAAGTATGTAATCAGCGTACATACCAAAGTCCCACGTATTTGCGACATATTTGCAGTATTTGTATTCTAATATTCTATTTCAGATTTGATCTTTGCTTGATCATCGCACCGGCTGTCACGTTCAAAACGAACACGATAGTCTGCGGAAGCGCCGTAGAAGTGAATTGCATTACAGATATAGAATTGACAATAAATTTGGATCAAATTAAATTGATGTCAACACTGAATAATGAGTTTGAAACGTTATTATCCGGAAGTTTCGAGAATGTGGAAGATAGACATAATTCTAACAATACAGCACAGAGATTTTCTTCGGGATTTCAAAGCACAAAATCTATCGGCTGGCTGAAGCAGACGTCAGATGATTCAGATCTCGATTTTGCAAAAGACAGTGGCGTCGACTTTGAAATGTCCAGCATGCATTCAACAATCATTGTAAGTTATTGTTATACGTTTGTAAAGTATAAAACGTAAGCATGATGATATTTTATATGATTCGTTTCGAAATTAATAATCACTTTGCACCAGGGAAGACCCACAAGTGCTGAAACTATGATGTTCCTGCCCTTCGAATTTTTAGTGAATTGCGGAAAGATAACATTTATCCTTTACGAAGTTCAGAATACATTCCCTGATTTAGAGGACGACATGGTAAGCAATAATTACATAAATCAGCAATATTACAGTTCGATTGTCATATCTTAGCTGTTATTTAAATATTAATTATATTTAGGATGTACAGAAAATTGACAACGAAGATGACAACGAAAATGCAAAACAGCCGTTACTTTACCTAATGATCAATCAGCCGAATATTTACTTCTCTCAGCAATATTTATCTAAGAAGATACAGGTACGCGTTATCACACATTCGATTGCAAAGAATTAATAATACCTAATTTATTACTCAACTGTTCATTTATTACGTTCCTCATTTTAATTAACGACGATCTGTAATTTGCAGATATCTTGTTTCGATGTGACGATAGCACTTGGCGACACGCAAAATCTGAACACGGTACCGACTGAGAAGGATTTCAAAATCTACATGATAGAAACGAAACACGGTGATCCGCATCCTGACACGGGTATCCCTCCTTCCTTCGCGACGGTAAAATCGGAAACGGTTCTAGGCAAAAATCGCCAGTTCCTCATTGAGATGGGGCGACCAACGAAAGTACACCTCTCCTTATCTCGTCTCAATCAACTTTACCGTATACAAAATAAGGTATCTCACACACGGGGATATACGTGTAACGTGTACATTCACCAATGATTTTTAACTCAACTTTATGCGCCATCAGATACTATCGTGTTTTATTGACGACGACACTTCGCAAGTGCCTGCGGACGAAAAAGAGACTGTGTACGCGGATTCCCCAAATTTGACGGTACCGCCGAAGTCGAGGAAATTCAGTGTACCTGATTTACATTTAAGTACAAGGCAGATCGTGCTGTCTTTAAAGACTGACTCCGGAGCGGAAATAATCGGCAGTTTGGCGTCGTTGAACGGAAATCTCTCGACACTCTCGAGACCGGACAGGATATACTCGAACCTGTCCGTGGACTCTTTCATTGTATCCGCGATTTTGAATAGCAACATCAAAGTCCTGTTGAATCCGTGGTGCTGCAACATAACCACCTGCTTACTTTGGGAATCTTCGTACAGTACTGAAATCATTCCGCAAATACAAATACAGGCGGACAGTGAAAGCCTGTACCTCGACTTCGGGCCGGATCAAATCAAAATTATAAAAATGGTTATGCAAGATTGCCAATTGCTCTTGAGCGAATTCGCCTCGTTCTCTGAGAACAATGGTAAGAACGAGAAGCAAATTGTATTGTCGACTGAACAGCACTATAAGGATGATCTCAAGGCTGGTGCATTCCAGTTTATCGACGGCACTGCTGACGAACTACCCTTCTCGTATCAAGTTGGTTAACGATTATTTAAAACTGGAGTAAAATTTAAAACAGCAAATACCTAATTTTCTCCTCTTCACAGGTGGTATTCTTTACCTATCCTCAGCAAGCGATGGCTTGGAGGTATCCGCAACCGCGGACGTTAACGAGAATACACGTGTCTCCTGTACCATTTGAAGTAAGTAACTTGTTATTTATAAAATATATAGATAATTTTTTCTTAAGTTTACTACTTTTATATATAGAACGTCGAGATAAATCAATCGGTGTAAAGAAAGCAGATAGTTACTTTCGAGAAAATATCCTATTTCTAGTGAATGAATATATTTTTTAATCAAATTCGTGTTTTTACACACACACACACACACACACACACGCGCGCGCGCAATATTTGTATTCTTCTTAATTTATTTCACATTCTTATAGACACTGGATATCGAAGGCGATTATATCGACAAGATCCCCTGCGTCGTCGAGTACTGGAGCGACAGTCATATATCCTATCAGCGTTACGCCGATTTCTACCTGTCGGAGACTGACTCCTACCGGCTGGATCTGCCGGAGAAGGCACCGGCGCGAGCGGTGGCCTGCGTATGGCGTGTGGTTATCTTGTCCAACGGTAAACGGCCTGCGTCGAAGAGCGTCGTGTCCGCCCGCGCGCTCGCGGCCTGCCTGCGCATCGATTCTTACTTCAACACCTTGATAATACCGAACGTGCAGATCGCCCTGAACATCGGCGTGCTCCACGTGTCTCTGTACAATCACATCGACACGAGCGTGTACAGCAGCTTGCCGCCGCCGTTGGACAGGTACACGTTGAACGGGAGAATCCCCGAGATACAGTGCTTCATGTCGCTGGAGCAGAAAGGGGCCGTGTTGGTGCTTAACAAGTGGATAGACGACTCCGTGCTGCTCGATGTCGGCGGTACTCTGAGCGTACACGTGTTAGACTACAGCCACTTGTCCATGCAAGAGGTGCTGGACTCCCTGGAAGGGAGGTTCCAGTTGTCCTTGTCGGACAAAGTGGACGCGTCGTTCACGTGCAACCCGTTCACGCTGAAGTTGGGTCCGGCGATAACTCACACCCTCGCGGTCTCCGCCCATCTCTGGCTGGCGTCCTTCGACAAGAAAGAGAAGAACGCGATCGTCCTGACGCGCTACGTGATCGCCAACGACAGCAATATACCGATTCGCTTCGGGCAGAGCGGCACGGGTGACAGCGTGCTGCTCGAGAGCAAGCAGTGTAACTTTTATTCGTGGCGGCAGATCGGCAATCAGATGATACGGATATCGATCGAGGAGAACGCCTGGGTGTGGAGCCGGCCTTTCTCCGTCGGTAAGGACGGATTCCAGGTGGTGGAGTTCAACAACTCGACGACCAACACCGCGGTCTTCGTGAACGTCAGCACGCTGTCCGCCACGCAGAGGCTCGTGACGTTCTCGGGCCAGCTCGTGATCTCCAATCAGTTGGTCGACAATTTCGAGATGAGGCTGGTCAAGTACGAGGCGGAGGTCGGCTCCAAGGTGACGGTCTCCAAGGAGGTGTACCTCGTGCCGGGCAAGAGCTTCCCGTCGTCCATCATGCTCGAGAATAACAAGAAGATGGCGATGCGGCTGCGTTTCACCAACCTGACGCACTTATCCTGGACCGGGGACATCCCTCTGCAACCCAACATCAAGTGGGGCCAGCCTTGGCTGGTGAAGGTGCCGCTGCAGGAGCGCGGCCAGTTCCTGAGCATCTGGGTGCGAATAGTCACGCAGATGATACAAGACAAGCCGAAGATTCTCGCGATGCTGAGCCCCCTCTACATGATCCGGTCTCACCTACCGGTACCGGCTAAGGTGCAGATGGAGACGCCGTCCTTGAAGATGTCGTCGAGAACGATGGTGAACGGCCGTGGCGAGTGCCAACAGCTGTACTGTCCCGGCACGTTCGAGCATTTCCACCAGCTGACGTTCCAACTGGAGTCCGGCGTATCCGCGTCGAATCCTTACGTGCCGCTCTCGTACAGTTCCGTGGACCAGCGCAAGTTCTTCCGGAGGCCGGAGGTCGAGGACATCGACAAGCTTCTGCGAGAGCTCAGGGACCAGAGGGAGGAGGCGCAGTGGCCGTTCCAAGGCGGCGATGACTCGGAGGAGTGGGTGTCCGCGGAACAACCGCAGACGCACGTGCAGGTGAAGTATCAGGACGCGGGGCTTGTGTCCAGCACGCTGCTGCTGGAGCTGCAGCCCTGGTGTTTCGTGATGAACTCGCTCGGCTGCCACATCTCCTTGGTGTCGGAGGACACGGAGCTCTGCCAGGTCCCGCACTACGGCATAGTCACGCCGCCCAAACTGGAGGGCACGTTTCACCTGGGCGTCGGGATCGGCGACACCTACTACACGTCCCAGGCGTTGCAGTTGGCGCGGCCCGACTGGAGCCAGAGCTTCTACATGCCTCGGATCGGCGGCCTGATCCCGGTCGAGGGTAACATCAAGACGTCCGTCGACTGCGGCGCCAGCGTGTCCCTTTTGAGCATCAGCTCCTCCATGCACGAGGACATGCGTCTGGTGCGCGTCACCAGCAGCCACGTGATCGCTAATCTCACCTGTCGGGAACTGTGCGTGGCGACGCTCGCTGTGCACGAGGAGGCGAGAAACCTGCACCTGCCCTGCGACCTCACCCCTTACAGTTTGAACATCTCGCCGTCGGAGGACCAGAAGCAGGGCGTCCCGATCGTGCAGTGGTACACGCTGTACACGGAGAGCAACGTCGAGCCGCTCGTGTTCTACGTGTCCTTCAGCCTCGGTCACAAATGGTCCTGCCCGATCAAGGTGGACCAAGCTATGAGCCGCAGGTCTGTCACGATCCCGAACGGCTGCGCCTCTGTGCCGGTGATCGTGACCACTCAGGAGGATAAGGGCACCACGTTCATCGTGGTGCACGCCGACGACCATCCGCAATTGCTGATCGAGAACGCCTGCTGCTTCAAGATCTTGCTGGGCCAAGCCGACGAGAGCAGCAACGAGATCTTGCCGGACAGCGGCCACTTCACGTGGACGTGCGAGGTCGACAGCGGGGCGACGTCCCATTACTCGCTTCCCTGCGTCAGCAATCGACTGCCCGACACCGCGGTGCCGAGCGCGTCGAACGTGTTGCTGTTCTCCGCGGTGCAGCCGCCGTATGACCAGCCGTGCGCGAAGGCGGACCTGAAGTGGTCCAGAGGCGTGAACCTGTCCGCGTTGTCCTCCACACCGATAGACCAGTATCTGCGGTTGCCGTCTTACGGCGACGTCAAGCTGATAATGCAGAGCCGCTGCTACACCGTTCACATCAGCATCGTGCCCATCTCCCAAGTGGAAGTGTCCGCTCAAGACATCAGAAGCAGGCTGCTGCGCAAGAAGAGCGCGGGGAAGGACTGCGGGACGATTATACACCCCGGTCCTGCGTCACTGAGGAAAGCGGAGGAGGATCAGATGTTGTCGCACATACAGAGCTCGAGCAGCTCGACCTCGATAATGAGCTTCTTCTCGGCCCAGGAAGACGTCTTGCCCGCCGAACCTGCTTTTGCCTCGTCATCGAGCTCGAGACGGGAGTTGATCTCAAAGGTCACAGACGAGAAAGCTGCCATCGAGGACAATCAAATAAAGCTGGTTAACGAGAGCAGTCCGGCTAACCCCAGGGAAGGCTCCGTCATGGTTTACCTGCGCGCCTGTACCATCATTATCCTCCACGATGTCAACGAGAACGCACAGAGAATCGAAGTCGCGAGTTTGTCGATGACCGACCTGGTCGTTAACGTCAACTCGAGGACCAGGTTCGTCAATCTGTGCTGCTACATAGGCGACCTGCAGTTGGACAACCAGCTGTTCGATCAGGGCGGCTTCGACTTTCCCGTGGTGCTGATAAGTCAGAGCCCATTGCCGAACAAAGAGATGGTGTTCTACAGTAACAATTGTCTGATGTCGAATATGGAGCAGATCAAACGGGGCTCTTTGATAGCCATCGAGCACACCTGGGAGGTAAACGGAATCATGATAGGTAAGTGTTTTGTGCGTATTACAGAAGCAGAATTCCTCAGGGAAATGTCGAATTACCTCTAACGCCGTTACCGTTGCGAGTTACTTTTCTCAGTAACGATTTGGTAACGACGTTATATTTTTTTCATAACGGTAACGCAATTTTTCGGTAACGTTAATGAATATAATCGTTACTTTGCGCATGTACAATACATATGCATGGGACGGACACAAGTGAATCCTGAAAAAGGTTTCTTCAAAACTTGGTGAAAAAAAAAAAAAAAATAACGGAAATAACGGTAACAACTCGTCATTTATTGACTAACGGTAACGCGTTTCTCTATTTGGATAACGAATAACGAGTTACCTCTCCAAAGTAACTTTCCCCAATCCTGATTATAAGATACATCTCCCTCTATATTTGTACGTATGCTCGTGAACTAAAGGTAACACATTTCTCTATTGCAGCGTCAAAGGAATGCCGCATAAAAATCGCTCCTATCAGTGCGTACATCGAGGACACATACATAACGCAACTGTTGGATTACGCGACATCGATGATACCACCGCGTCTGATACTGAACGACATCCCTAAAAGGATGCAGACGGTAGCCGTGTCGAACGCGGCGTACATACCGGATTACATTATGATCGACTCGAAGATTTTAAGCAGGCCACTGCGACTGCAAAACTTCGTGATAGAACCTCTGTCCATCTTGTTAAGTGTTCACACGTCCATACGGCTATACCTCGCTCTGGATCATTCCCCACTATACTTCGGCACTTTCGAGAGGAAGAATCTGCTCACCACCCCATACAGACTTGGCTACGCGATTATGATGCATTATTTATCCGGGGCTATATTCGGGGCAGGTCGGCCACTCGTTTATACTCAAACTTAGCCGCAGTTTAACTTTGCTCCTATTTATTCCTTATTGCAGCCACTATTGAATTGTGACTTGTTAAACTATAATTATTCAATTCATCGTTGAATTATAATTCTATAATTGGAATTTTCAAAATTATAATTGTTAAATTATAATTACTCAATGATCTGTATTACAATAACAGAAGTCTTGTGAATTCTATTATAAGAAATTCATGGGATTTCCTGCGTTTAATGTAATTCATAGCTACGAATATAATTCCGGGCTAGAGTCCCTTTTAAGAATAACGAAGAAAATATTTGTTTGATGCGACAGGCTGGGTGGTCGGATCGTTAGAGATGCTTGGATCACCGGGAGGTCTGGCGCAAGCTCTCGGGTCCGGCCTCAGAGACTTCGTATCGCTTCCATTCCAAGGACTGTTGCAAGGCCCATGGGGTTTCATCGTTGGTATCACACACGGGTCAGCCAGTTTGATGAAACACGTGACGGCAGGTACGACAACCTGCGACGGTACTTTCCGTTCATTTCGAGCGCTTAGATGTGCACGATTAAACGTCTCGATTCGCACGCAGGCACTGTGAATTCCGTGACGAAACTGGCGTCTAGCGTCGCACGGAACTTGGATCGCTTGACATTAGACGAGGAGCATCTGCAACGACAAGAGGAGTCGCGCAGGATGCGTCCTCAAGGCATGGCGCAGGGACTTTACCAAGGCTTGACCGGTCTCGGAATGAATCTGCTCGGTAATCGTTTCTTTCTCACAGAAATAGTGTCACTTGCGTCGTATGCAGTGTAACTAATCGTTCATTATCGATCAGCGGCTGTTGCCGGTTTGGCGCATCATCCTCTGCAACAAGTGTGGTCGGGTGAGGCGACGACGAGGAGTTTAGTCACCGGAGTCGGCCTTGGTCTGGTCGGCGTCGTCACAAAACCATTGAGCGGTGCTGCGGAGCTAGTCGCTCTCACGGGTCAAGGACTTTTGCAAGGAGCTGGATGGAACTCGTTGCCCACGGTAAACCCAAGTGATTTACGAGTGGCAACCCAACGGTGACTTTGATCAAACTCTGATTAAGCTAATGCAACCGGACCGAAATCTTTCTCCATAACTCGATCATAATCTGCGATCTGTTACCGCAATCTGATTTTCCACAGCCACGTCAAAGACCAATAGTGCAATACACCATCGGTAATAACAGCACATCCGTGCGGTACACGTGGCGCTTGTCGTCCCTGCTCGAGCACACTCACGACAGTATTCTTCATGTGACCAGCGCGGACCACGTGATCCACCAAGGCAGTAATCGCGCGGTTACGCTTGTTCTCACGCGACAAGCTTTATTACTGGTCAACATGGCGGAGGACAGCGTGGAAAGGATATTCTCGCTGAGGGAGCTGACGAGCGTCGATCATATCGCGGAAGCGACGATGCTCTGCTTGTATTGCCCACCAGCTGCTACGCAATCCAGCCGATCGTTATCACCGGCTGAACACGAGGTAAGACGCAAATAAATTCGCAAATTTCGCGTCAGCTGAGTATGAGTTATGCAGATCTAACGAGTGAAGATGAAACGTGTGTTAATCCGTTCCTTCCTCTCTCACAGATGGACCAAGAGATGAGGGCGCGAGTCGCCGAGTATGTGCGGACAAGCAGCACCGGCTTGGCCAGCGTGTCAACCAACAGTGACCGACAATCCGACACCTTCGAGAGAGCATCTCCCCATCCGGAACACACACTCACGTTCTACGTTTGTCCGGACACCCGCAACTACCTGCTGTCGTTGTTCAACATCGCCAAACGACAAAATCAGGGTTTCGGTTTTGCTGTGTTGTAACAGGATAAATTTCCAGTCAGTTGCAATTAAGCAAGCGCATGCGATGACCAGAACGAATGTTCCACGTATAATTCGATGTATCAAATTAAAGGTACGTTCGATTCCAATATGTTTTCTGGATACGGTACCGAAACGTATTTATCGGATTTTGGGGAATTTCATGTACTTCGAGCTTACCAAGCCATGTGGAAGCAGTATTACCACGTGAATTAAAGAGACTCGCAAATACCCAAGTAAATACAATTTAGATTCCAAGCTCTTCAGATCTTTTTTGGACGTCCATTTCTATTTTTATTAAAATATATCGCACATATATATTGATGCTTACGTTTTACTTAAGAATTGTTTACGAGTTTATAATGTATGAATTTTATTGTAAATTCAGGATATGAGTTAAGTAAAACATATATAAATTGTATAAAATATTTAGAGGACGTTATTTATACTAATTCTTGCAGAAACGTACAAATTAAAAAAAATTATACATAAACTTTATTTATAAATGACCATACGATATACACACACACACACACACACACACACACACACACACACACACACACACACACACACACACACGCGCGCGCGCGAAAGATAAAAAGACAAATTTTTATAAACATATAAATTGTCGATTTTACATAAACATATATTTATATGTGCCAAAACACTGTGAACAATTCTAATTGGAATTGTTACGAATCATGTAATATTGTGATGTAATAATTCAATGTTATAATATATTTTACATACTGTGCATATAAAAGATTTGGTAAGTAATAAATATTAAATAATTGAGTTATGTTACAAATAACTGAGATATCCTTATGGAACTTTAATAGAATATGTGAATATCCAATTAACTATAAAATGTGATAAAAAAGTAACGTAATTGAACGTTTCAGAATCTTTATATTATCTGCTTAAGAAACTCTCATGAATCCGCTCCACATCATTCGATCTGTAAGAAAGCCCACAAGAGTTGCACTGACTATTTTCAATAGATAATAATACTTTTCTACATATCACATGTTTGCAAGGCAGCCTATAAAGAATACTATTACTGCAACATCCACAATTGTCAGATATATTATGTAATTCTATTTTCTCCGATGTATTGAAGCGTTTAATGTTTGACAATAGATTTACTCTATTGTCTGAGATATTTATATCAATCGGCAGTACTTCCGGTTTGTTATCATTATTACGGCTAATAGAATTATTAGCTGACGAAGAAGCAATTAAATTTCTCGCAACTTGTCTCGGCATTGAGTAAACATTGGCAGTGGTTCGTTTCGGACATGTGACAACTGCTGGTAGTTGATGGCAATATCTTTTCGTTCGTTGTGAATCGTTATCCGCTATTTGCTTGTGTGCATTTAGTTTGGCATCTTCATTGGTCCTCTTTAATGGATTCTTGTCTAACATACCTCTTGGTATTTCAATTATTCTTCTGTCTCTCATTACAACCGAGGATGAGGCACGGCCTAAGACTCTTGGCATATTTTTGATTTCATCCAAATTGCTATTCTCCAATAGGAATTTGTCAATTCTCAACTTTAAAGCAGTAGCCATGATTGGCCTACGATGCTCATTGAAAGAAATGCCAGTGAATGGATCTGACACAGGCCTACCCCAAACTGCTTCATTCTGTTCATGCTTTTCTAACGTGGTTTGATCTATTATTTTACCACTAGGCAATGTAATCGGCTGAGTCATTATCTCCCATGTAATTGGGTCTAAGAAATGTTCAGGAATTTCAAAAGTTGCTGTACTTTCTCGCCTGATAAATATAAAAATATACATATTAACAATAAATATCAAATATATAATAAATTATGTATACAATCGAATATACCTGTTGCTTGTTACGTTGTCTGTGATACTTGCAGAACTGGCACTATTTTTACATTCTGTTACAGACGATGCCAAAATGGTTTGACACTTGGACCATAATGTATATACACTTGCTACAACATCCTTTCCGCAACGTGGTGATACTGTCCCCCATACTTCGATCTTTCCTAAAGCTGGCACTGAGTTTTCTGTTTTACATATAGTGATACGTAAATCATGAGTATAAGCGCTCAAATATTGCATGGACCTTTTGATATAACGCTTCAAGAAATTTTTCGGTACAGGAATCTCCTTGACATCAATGTCAGCTGGGTGGAACAACAGTCCAGCATCACAATGACTTAAATAACCGTTGGATAATAAAATGTATGGAGTATTCTCGTCATTGGTATTTCTGGAGTAAAGCTGAAAGCCCGACGATTTCTGGGATCCAACGGATGGCCAAATTAGTATGTGATTTATCCGTATGTTGCAGAGGAACGTGATATCAATATGAATTGGTGGTTTGATGCAGGAGTATGCTAAGAAACCTTTGCAAGAGTCACTTATCAAATTGGTTACTTCGTATCCTTCCGTACTGATACTACTGCATTTAATTTCTGGACGCAAACGTGGATCACAAAAATTAAAAAGCATCTTCTGATTATCCGTAGACCATCAATGGCATTATTATATCGAAGGATATTTTGCACGCACTATCATTCAATGTATCTTGAAAGGTCTTTCATACATTCGCTACAAATCGCTTTGAACCTCTTCTTCTTCTTCTCAATTGTAGCTATGGACTACCCTGAGGCCTGCTCCTACGCGAAATCGCTTTGAACTTCTCACACCACAACTAGTCCGTTCTTTTTAGTTGCACTGGTACAATAAGTTAGAGCGAGACAAAATATACATGTCTCTCTCTAATTTGTTGCAGCAGTTCAGCTAAAAAGAACGAACTAAATATATACTCAAAATGGACAATGTGCGATAATTCGAGTTTTTTTTTCGACAAATTAATAAAAAATTTCAATAAATATACTGCGCTTGAATTACCTTGAAACCCGTACTGTGCTTGAATATATTTTTATCGTTTAATAATATAATTTATCGTTAAATCGGGAGAATATTCAAACTCGACAAATGTTTAATTGCAAATTAAAAGATTTATATATATATATGTTTATTTTGTATTTGATCGAAAACAACGTTGGCCAGGTTAAACAGAGACTGTGTAAATTTTATAATGTTACACGTCTTATAAGGATGTATATGTATAAAAATAAGGATAGGTTGCATATATATTTAATAACTCACACATCTGTAACTTAATATATACATATATATTTTCTGTTGTGAAGATAACAATGATTTGTAGTGACTTTGGCACGTGATGAACACACAGAGTTCTCAAAAAATCTAGAATATACTTATCTATTAACACAGATTTCAATTATAAATTTACATTACATCAACATGGTCAACGAGATTGCAGCTGTTGTCTACGCAAGTGATTGTCCAACTGCGCTAACTGTTGAAGAAAACCATTGTTTGGATGGATATCCCGATTTATACGGACCATTCGCAAGGCGTCGACCGCTGACATTTTCTTTTTTATCATTAAATACGCAATTACACAGGTTGCACTGCGAGATACACCCTGTACGCAATGCACAAAAGCTTTACCTCCTGTGGATATTGCTTCATCAATAAAATCAGCTACTGTATAGAAATATTTACTAATGTCTGCTGTGGGTAAATCTATAACCGGAATTCCGTGATATTTAATAGCTGTATCTGCATAATAATTACTATCTGTCCTGGCGAATCCGAATCTTTTCCCCTCAGCAGCATTCAATAAGTGTGTTACACCTAACATTTCAAGATACTTCTTGTTCTTAGCTGTCTCACCATTGCCAATATATATTCCAGAATACACTTCATCACAATCAATTCTTTGCTGAGCTCGAAAGTATTGTAAGTCATCGATGTTGGGATCAAATCCTGGTAATGGCTTGAACTCAGTTTTTGTTTCATACAGAGCACACACTAAGTCACCCTCTGTCGTCTCCCCACCCGGTAGTGGTTGATGAAAATCTCGGTCCTTGGCGTCATCCTTTCCATGTGACGGTCCCGCGAGCTTATCACTATCTTCCTTCGTCGGTTGATTCGGCGATGATGGTTGCACCGACATTGCATCAGCGTTGCATCAGCGTTGTTGTTCGCACGTTGTCAGTGATTTCGTGATTATTACCTGTGTCTCTCTGCAATTGCGTTGGGGCTGACAAAAATATGCATGTACAAATAGGTTACACGTATATTTAATAACTCGCACACTCGGAACACCAGCTTACGGCAGACGCTGCCTGGGTGTTCAGGGAGAAGCGCTCAAAATTAGTTTTTGGCGAGCGGCACAATATAACCATATACAGTATCGAGCGTCGACACTTTTGATACGGTGGGTCCCAAAGGCAGTGATCAGTGATGCGATTTTAAGCCCCGTCCTAGAATCTGCCAGTGTTTTTCCTCCTTTATCTACGCGTCAGAAACGCTCTGTTGATGTGACACGCGCACTGTGCGCGTGTGCGATAACTGTTACCTAGCAGCACTTTCCGTATCTGCACTTTTGGTACCTGCACTCAAAGATATCTTTGGATCGGAGAAACGATATTTCCTCACCGAACTATTTTTCGGACTTTCCTTACAAATGTACCTCTCCCGCTACAGGGACGACTTTGCTATCAGACTCTCAAATTTATAATGAAATACGAACTCGTGCTGCATTCCAAGTGCCACGAGTATACTACTCGGAGTGTAGCACCAAACCGTATTTTCATTTATTATAAATTTTCAAAGCCTTAATTGCAAAATTCTAAGCTCTGTACAGGATTAGATACGTTCGCAAGAAATACTTCAAAAGTAATTTAATGAATCAATATAGTTTATCCGAGTTAAAATATAGGAAAGCATAGATACAACGAAAAGTGTAGCAGCACTTATAAAGCCGACCGCACGAAACGGTGATATATGCTACAAGATAAGTTATATGATACAAGCGACGTGATATATACTTGTATCAACGTTAAACCTAATCCCGGTTCCAAGTGAAATATATTTTTATTTTCACCTGCGTAAATTTATTTCAGTTTGAGACGATACTGTGAATGAAAAAGAAAATCTTTAAAAAGGTGTATTAAATCTGATTAAAATTATGAGTGAACATAATTATTATCAAAATAATAAATCATCTCACAATAGTGAAAATGATAATGAGTTTCTTGACGAAAGTATTAATGATGATGACTTTGACATGGTTTTATTAACTCTTATAAAACAATACCCATATATATATGATCCAAACAAATTAAATCAAGAAAAAATTAATTTAGCTTGGAATAATATATCTGTAGAAATGAATGAAAAAGGTAAAAGAATTATATATTTTTTTTTTGTTAAACCCAACTTTTACAAAATATGTAAATAATTGTAACCATTAATATTTTCAGTTGAACAGTGTCAAGATCGTTACAGAAGATTAAGACAATATTTCTCTAAAGAACGTAATCGAAGAGAATTTGTTGCTGCAGGAACTAAGAGAGATACAAAAGGATGGGCTTTATATGATTGTGCTTCGTTTCTGAACCCTTTTATAATGAAAACAAAACCAAAACTTGATATTTTAATTGCACAGACCATTCAAAAAATTGGATCTACTTTAAACACAGTAGCAGAAAGACTGCATGAAACATCTACTCTGCCTGACAATTTATTTGACACAAATTATTTGGTTGGACGTATTGTTGTAGCACAGTTAAATAAAATGAGTCCAAAGTCAGCGAATAAGAAAAGAAAGCGAATAGTCAAGTGTCTGTATAGCAGTGATAGCGACAGTAATTAAATTAAGCATTTTTTAACTTAAGTAAATTTAACACTGTGTGTATAAATTTGTTCTATTGCAATAACGATAATAAATAAAAATTATTACAAATTAAAAATAAATAATATGATTTTTATTTATATTTAATATATTACTATCTTCCAACAATTTACAGTATGTAATGCAGAAAAACAATGAAGATATAAATAAATACACTCATAATAACTTTATTATATATTACATGAAGGTACATTTTATGAAAATATCATTATTTAAATAATATGTCCATTATTTTATGAATGATATTATTTTTCTTTAAAACATCTTGTTGATATTTTAAGCGTTAAGAAATTGACCAATCACAGTCGAATGTGAAGAAAATAATTAACTGTGATTGGTCAATTTGTTAAGGCTTAAAATACCTATTGTGGATCGATATTAAGGCCAGTTTCCCATTGTGTGGAAATCTTCAGCAAAACTGAACGCGCGGAACCAACGCAACCAATCAGCCATTCAATTCTTGTCATATTGGCTGTGATTGGTCACGTTGGCTCCGCGCGTTTCATTATGAATTTATGCGCAATAGGACGCCGGCCTAAAGTGTGTGTTCAGAAATCCTATCGGATAGAATAATGTTTTTAACCAATCATGACAAAGAAATCTTTGCTCTTCCTATTTTTATTGGTCAATTAAAAGCTATTCTACTCGTTGAGGTTTCTGAACAAGGAAGAAGAGAAAGTAGATAGTAGAGCCCTCTGAAACTACATACTGAGAGAAAGAGAGAGAGAGAGAGAGAGAAACCCTCAGTAAGCAATCGTAATACTGACTGTATATACTATATATCAACGTTCCGCGTAACACGTTTATAAACACGTGCACATTATAAATCTTTATATTGGCAAAAGAACAGAATATATATTTTAAAATGAATGAAAAAGTAACAGCGATGGAAGTTGACGAAAGTAAAACAGAGGAAGGCGTCGATGCTTCGGAAATGAGTTACGAGAACAAACTGCAGTTGGTGAATGCTATAGCCAAACCTATGGCACCCAAGAAATTAGCTAAGAAAATCTACAAATGTATAAAAAAAGGTGAACTATCTTATTATTGTAATTTCCTCATATTATTGTAATTCGTTTGTTTATTAATAGTAACATTTTTTTTTATTTGATAATTATGTATTATAGAAATATAATGTGTAATATAGAAAGTTTCTGATTACATATAGAAATTATATAAAAATAATTATTTATTTAGCCTCTAAGCATAAGTCTTATCTTCGCAATGGCTTAAAAGATGTGCAGAAGCACCTTCGTAAAGGAGAAACAGGGTAAGTTTTGCTTTTTTATAGATAGTTCTTGAATTTCAAGAATATCTAAGTATTTTACAAATATACATATATATATCTAATCAATTATACAAATATATATATCTAAGTATTATACAAATGTTCTTTATTTTAGGTTGGTTATATTTGCTGCTGATGTATTTCCTATAGAAATTATGTGCCATTTGCCAGTGGTATGTGAGGACAAGAATATTCCATATTGTTATACACCTTCAAGACAAGATATTGGTGCGGCAATGGGTATAAATCGAGGTAGCCTTATGGTACTCATCAAAGAACATCCAGAATACAAGGATCTATATACTGAAGTTAAAAGTGCAATGGTAACACTTTCCGCACCTTTATAACATAATATATATCTTATTGTGCATATTTTATTCAGAATATATTCTGTTCTACCATATGCTTAAAGAAAATATGTTTACACAGCAGCCCTAAGCCAGTTTTAGGCTATTATGTAACATTATCCTAGATTTTAATGTTTATAACTTATCAGTAAGTTACTAAATAAGTTATATACATATATACACACACACACACAAACATCTTGACCGTTCTGTAAATATCAAACAATACTATCATTAATTATAACATTATTGTCATATATATGTATATTTCTTATATGGTATTTATATGGTGGTGTTTTATATCCATTTTTTGTGTGAATATAAATATGTTTTAATAAACATGTATGATAATCTTGTATGATTTTTTATGAAAATTTCTATTCATGTACATTCAAGTTCTAAGTATAATTGGAACTTTCATTTTGTTTATATTCATATTATTTAATGCAACTGTCTGTGAAAGATTAGAATGTTTATAATTAGAATTAAGATTTTCATTCTAACACTTATAGCAATTTCATATTTGTCTGATATTAAAAAAAAAACACCTTGATATTTTCATTGAATCTATATTTCTATTGAGTCGATAAAGAAGTCGTTTGGGTTCTCGAATATCGGTAAAACATGTGGCGCCATCTAACGGAAACCGATTCAAACTCTTCGCCTAACTCAATTTTGAGGATCTAGTGAAATCCAGAATAAGGAACACTCACGGTATAAGTCTGTTTTAAGTTTAATTTAACGCTTTTAACGAGACGAAATAATCAAGACAGTAATTGGTGTCGGATACTTTCATTTTCCAAGGTAGCTATGAACTTAGAAGCAATGTTTTTGTCGTAATCCTTCAACCGCATAAATCTCAGAAAATTTGCCAAACTCATATTACGAGTGAAAAATGCATATGGAGAGAGTAAACGAGTAAATCAAACTGAGAAAGAATTACACGCCAAAATATGCCGCCATACAATAAGAATACATCGCCTCATCAAAAATAGATAAATCTTTATCCTTGCACTAACATTACACGACGCATATTACCTCGTCGAACGTGCCACAAGGAGAAAATATGGAGAGCTACATGGAGGAAACTAACGGATGCGACAGAGACAATTGGGAGCATGTTTAAGGTAAGACGATTTTTCAATTCGAACGCTAAATCGTAAAGAAATCTATTTATTCATGAACGATGCGGTAGGACGTCTCGTGCCTCGAATGAGATTACTCGTACAAATAACACAGTCATATCCGCTAGATATTTTTATCACGTCCGTACGCAAAAATAGTGCGTGTTATTATATATACATACATACACGTATGCATGTACATATAATTATATACGTTATATCGTGAAGACTATTATCACCCTTCGAGATAGATGAGCGTAGAACGACGATTCGCATCCGTGCGCACCAGACTAAACCGAAAAACACCGGTAGTAGTCGTCGTGCTCGGTTCGATCGATCGAGATAGTGCGAAATTACAATTGTGGATTGTCGGCCGATTTTTCTCGAACTACGTTCTTTTCCGCATCTCCGTCTCGCGTCCCGCACGCGTTCCCTCGGGATATCGTTGAATTGAAGTCTGTCTTTCTCTCTCTCATACGCTACTTACGGGATGAGTAGTCGTTTAAGAGCTAGTAGCGTTACTTGTTTTCGACGATAGCTGCGAAAGAAGAAAGAAACAACGCGTGTTCCTTTCACCGACTCGCCTCGAGACTTGTGCCGATCGATCGTGGGTGCAAAAGTAGCGGGTGTGATTGCGGAATCGCACGGTCTGATCAGATCGCGAGCAGACTGCAGTCGTGGGTGTATAATAAATCCAAGATATAATAAATATCAATAATTCATCGCGCGACAATTTATCTATAACATAAACGGAAAAAATTCTTTTTTTTCACAAAATAAAAAACAATAATAAAAACAAAAAGTACATAAAGTAACGATGAGAACAAAATAAAAAAAGAAAAAAAAAATAGAAAAAGGACACACCTACAATTAGAAAAACGCCTCGGATAGGAAATCAAGAGATAAGCTATATGAAGAAAAATAATCGAGGATTTTTATAATCCCACAAAATTTGCTCCAGTCGATCATCACTTCTTGTCGACAATCTCGACGAGGTGAAATAATTTCGTACGATGCGATCCTACCGAAATGATCCTCCCGTTCTATTCTATTTTATCTCTCGAGTTCCATAAACTTTCACGCTAGCCGACTTTCCGCACGGGATAACGTAACTTTCATCGAGTCGTCTGTCTTAAAATTGGCCTGAGGTACATTTTGAAAAATAAAAAACTTGACGCTCATATCGAGCGGTAAATCAAGATTCTTGCTTACATGTAACTTGAAAAGCTCGAATCATTTTTCGATCGCTATTTCTCAGACAAGCAATGTCAACATGTCGGACAACCACGTCGGACCACGTTACGTAAATGGACTCTACATTTTTCAAAATGTGTCACCTCTCTACCTTTGGTGTCTAAAAGCGTTCGTTTATCGTTCACACTTGTCGCATTGAGATAATTCCAAGGCGTCGTCGAAGCGGTATATCAGTGGCAGGAGAACTGATCGAAAGAACACAATTCAGATAAACTAATGACGATGAGGAACATAGGACGACTGGATTGTATTATCTTGTTCGGTGTTTCGTATCGCTTCGATAACGTCGAGGCAACAATCGTTCCATGGCGAGAAATCTTATCTTTTTATCTTTATCCTTTTTCTTTTATTTTCGCTTCCTGCTCTCCTCTCTCGCTCATTCCCGAAGACGCAAACGCCAGGACACCGCGTGTAAAAATCTTTCTTGTTGTTTGTCGATCGTTGCTATCAGTACGTGTGACCCCGAGCATGCGCGAGCGCGCTTATAATTCTACCGATTTGTCAGTATAAAATATACACTTACGGCTAAAATATATTATATACACGAGCGACGAAGGGCAACATTGACATCGAAATTGACGTAGCGTAAAAGTGGGACGTTATTCTCACCAACCTCGTCGTAACAGACATACACACGGTACGTCCAGTTACGTCGAATCCACGTTTTCTCTTCGCGTCTTCTCTCTCGCTTAAACATAATTTCGCTATAGATAGGGCAGTAGCGCGAATTGTTGCGAATGCGTATGTCGGTTACAAATGTTCGTCGCAGCATAAAATCGTCTAAGAAAGAATGAAAGAAAGAAAAATGCGGACAAATCGAAATTAGTATCTCGAGAGTGAGAGAGAGAGAAAGAGAAAGAAACTCACTTTGATAACGTCTCGACTTTAAGAAAAGAAATGATCGCATTTTCTTCAGTCCTTTTTTTTTATTTTCTTTTCTTTTCTCTTAATTTCCGCATTTGCGTGGTACATTGTGCAAACCGCCTCTGTTTGACCTCCTTCTCCCTCGTTCGTTCTCCGTCCCGTTTATAAACTTCTAATCCCTAATACGCGCCTCGTGTTACATACATCTCGCTCTCTCGCTGTAGTACAAATTTTAATCTATCTATCCTTCTTCCTCTATCGCTCCATGATCGCGGATATGAGTGAATCGATCGAGAAGTATATGCGAGGATGATCATGCGAACGATCGGAACTAACGAGTATCAAATTATCAATGATAATATCTTAACACCGATTAGCTTAACGATTACATATTATCACTATTGGTAATATCGTTATTAGTAGTTAGTATCAGTATTATGCTAGTCCAATTGTGTGTACGCGTGTGTATGTGTACGTGTGTCTTTGTCTGTGGGTGTGTGTGTGTATGTGTGTGTGCGCTTACAACTGGGCCGTGTAACGCGAGACTACGCTTCTCTGTCTTTTGTTACAAGAACCGTCCGATACGTTTTCACGAAATGCACTAGCTGAGAAGATTTCGCGCGACGAAATCTCGGACTTTCCGAGGTATCGTAAAAAGTCAACTTTCCAGAGGAGCCACGTTACACGCGTTACAATTCAACGGGGAAATCCAAGCCGACGTTACCGACGTCGCTGTAAAAATCGCATATCTCTAATAAAACAATACTGTGCTCGCGTTCCCCCGGTCGAAACGCGACGGTGTCTTCGTGGGCGAAAAAATAGGAAGCTTTGCCTTATCTAGATTCTAATCTCCTAGATACATTACATCCGTTATAAACGTAATCATTTTTCCTCTCACTATCTATGATCGATCTCGTTACTGCCGCGGTGACAGTGACGATGGTAATGTCATCGAAGCGGTAACTTATTATCATAAATCGATATGTTGACGCGGCCGCCGTGATTTAATGCTAATTTCAGTTCCCTCCCTTCCGCGAGAAAACGAACGATTATCGCGATTGTGAGTCGCCTCCGTGGAAACCTCATCAAAGGCGCGAGAAATTCTTACGCGTGGGG